CCATTTTTGGGACTTTGTTTCAAAATGTTTGTTCCTTACACAATCGTCTTATCCTCTTTTAATTGTTAGCGAGTAACCATGCGAAACAGTTACTTTTTAAATGGCATGACGCATGATTACAATAATGTCTATAGGCATGACTAGTTTTAAATCGAGTTGATCATCGAATCAGTAAATTCAACATTTTTTTTGAATAGTAATAAAAGTAAAAAATGGACAAAATTACGATGGACCTCTTTAAATTTCATAACTCGACTTGAACCAAGTTCCATCTCAATTTTCACCGAACAATTTTTACTGAGACTTGTCTCCAGTCTTTTTATTATAAAATAAAATAAAAAGTCAAATCTACAGAAAAGTCAAAGCTTTTCTTTTCAACCACTTCCGCGCGCGCACACACGCGCTCTCTCTCTCTAGATATACCGTATATGGTTGTTAAAGTGTTATACATAAGCAGCAAGTAATATGGTTTGTCAGAAACGTAAAGCCATTGGACACCGCCCATAAACCAATAACTGATAGATATGTAGAGAGAGAGAGAGAGAGAGAGAGAGAGAGAGAGAATTTTTATTACACATACATGCATTTATATCTATATCTGTATCTGTATATGTGTAGGTTTGTTGTGTAGTTCTTGAAGTGTTGGGAAAAATGGGTGGGAGTAAATGGAGGAAAGTTAATCTAGCTCTTGGGTTGAAGATCAACACGTGTCTTCACGAACCAAAAACCATCGAGGACGCGCTGCCGTTGTCCGCCGGGAGGTTCACTGACGCCGCCTCGTTGTCCTCGCCACCGCCGCGGCGAAATTCCACCACGCCTACGCCGTCGTCCTCCGGACTCCGCTTGTCGAAACACTCCTCCAAATCTTTCGAGGTGCAAAATTTACAGAAATATTACACCTTAATATATATAAATATATCATATATGTGTATTTTTCCTCTTTAAATGCATAATCACTCCCATAGTAATATTTGTGCTTATTTTTTAAGGATTAATGTTGATTTCTTGTTTTACTGAAAAGTCGTTAGGTTTGTTAAGCTCAAAATCGGAAAATAATTTGGACTTTTGAGATAGAACCAAGATTGAATATAGCACGAGTCCAACAAGCTGAAACGAGCAATTCGATAGGTTTAAAGCTCAAACGAACAATTGAATTTCAGGATTGGTGCGTCCTAAATTTTTTCTATTTACTGGAAAGATACTAGTCTGATACTTTCTTATTTTTGTTCTTTTCATTTGTCATGGATCTTGAATTTTCTTTCTAATGGGATTTTCAAGAATCTTGATGGGATTTTTCCTGTGCTGCAAAGAACTTCTGGATTTGATTTTGTCTCTTTTTCTTTCTTTCTTTTTTTCTGTAAAAAAGGTTTTTTTTCCTGTTAATGTTTATTTCCTGAATGGATTGGTGTTCGAATATGTTTGAAGAGGGTGCTGTCATGTGGGGTAGAAGGGTGATGTTAATGGGTGTATAGAAATATGCATATGAGCTGTCTAGATGGGCTTGTATTATAATGTAGTTGTCAGCTCACTGTGATGTGGTAGGGATAAAGTGGTTGGATTCCCTTTTGAGGATTATTCTGGTATTGACTTAATTCTTAGGCGGGGCGGGTTTGAGTATTTTGTGCTCTTTTGTTTGTAATCTACCCTTTTAGTTCTTGGTGAAGTTCTTCTTTTCGACCGTGGATGTAGACCGACTGCTGAAGGACCAATTATTCTTTTTCTCTTTAATGTTTTGCCTAAACCCCTTTTTGAAGCATCCGCACAACGACATCAACATAATCCAAGTGCTTTGCTTAGTGAACAACTTGACTGTTTCAAGGACATGTCACTACTCATTTGGACATTTTCTCGACCATTTTCATCAAAATAGTAGTCTTCAGATTGAACAAAAACTATAAGAATTATGAAGTAAAGTATTGGTTCAGAGTTTTCAGGCAACAAGTGTCATCAAGCTAAGGACAAGGTTCAAGAGAATGGAAGTCTTGTAGTAAAGAACCATGTCTACAGTCTACTCTTTTAATTAATAAATAAGGGTATAGTGTCCTTTTCATAAAAAATATTACTTTTTAACTGTCGAGTAGGTGGACATGTCCTTAAAACCGATTTACCAGAAAAAGGTTGGGGTCCTTTGCAATTTTACCTTCTTATTTATCCCTATCTGATGGCTTGAGAGTTCTTTTATTGATTTTGACAAGTTATTGATTCGGAATTGTAGATTTTCATTAAAAGTTCCATCTAGCTTGCAAAATTGAATTAATGATAAGATGTTTGACAATAAAAGTCTTAGGTAACATCGATTTTACTTTTCTCAAAATCTGTAATGGTTATTATATTATCATAAGAATGTTAAATCATATATTTGTCTGTGTACTTTGATTTTGAACTCTGAATCATTTATGTAATTTGATTTTGAACTTTATCTTTGATTGCAGAGGACCTGTACAATATGTTTGACATCCATGAAACCTGGCCATGGCCATGCCATTTTCACGGCAGAATGCTCACACTCCTTTCATTTCCATTGTATCACAACTAATGTAACACATGGAAAACGAAGTTGTCCGGTTTGCAGAGCGAAATGGAAAGAAATACCCCTCCAGAGTCCTGTTACTAATAAACCCCATGGAAAACCGAGCTTAAACAATATGTCTTTGCCTCGAGATGATGCCTGGTTGACCGTTATAAGACGATTGCCCCATTCCCGAGTGGGTGCCAATCAACACGCTTCTTCATTTTTTCATTCGGTGGAACCTAGGGTGTTCGATGATGATGAACTTATTAGTCATCCACCTGATGTCACCCTCTCTTCCTGTAATGATGTGGCTGATGACCATTCTGTCGGAGTCGTGGAGGTTAAAACATACCCAGAGGTTTCTGCTGTTCCAAAGTCGACATTCCACAATAATTTTGCTATTCTGATTCATCTCAAAGCTCCCGCTACTACCAGCTCCCAACTTTCTGGAATAGATCAAACTTCTCGTGCTCCAGTTGATCTCGTCTCTGTGATTGATGTTAGTGGTAGCATGGCAGGTAGCAAGCTCGCCTTGCTGAAACGGGCAATGGGATTCGTGATCCAAAACCTCAGCCCTTCTGATAGGCTTTCAGTGATTGCCTTCTCATCCACAGCTCATCGTCTTTTTGCTCTTCGTAGGATGACCGATACTGGAAAGCGTGAAGCTTTACAAGCTGTTAATTCTCTAAGATCAAATGGTGGGACAAACATTGTCGAGGCTCTTAAGAAGGGTGCCAAGGTGATGACTGACCGCAAGTGGAAAAATCCGGTTTGTAGTATTATACTGTTGTCGGATGGACAAGACACGTATGCTGTTAGCAGCCCAAGTGGTTCCAACGCCCCCAATAACCCCCATACTGATTACCAATCATTACTCCCGAATTTCATGAATCACAATAGTGCTTCTGATTTCCACATTCCTGTACATGCATTTGGATTTGGTACAGATCATGATTCAGTCTCAATGCATTCAATCTCAGAAACTTCTGGGGGAACGTTTTCTTTCATAGAGACCGAAAGTTCGATTCAAGATGCTTTTGCTCAGTGCATTGGTGGGATTTTGAGTGTTGTTGTTCAGGAATTACGGGTGGAAATCGAGTGCATTGATCCTGTGCTACAACTCATTTCAATAAAATCGGGAAATTACAGAACCAGTTATACATCCGATAGAAGAAATGGCACCATAGAAGTTGGAGACCTATATGCTGAAGAAGAAAGAGATTTTCTGGTAACAACTGATATTCCAATTGACGGATCCCGTGATGAGATATCACTACTAAAGGTTCGTTGCATTTTCAAAGACCCTGTTTCCACTCATTTAGTAACTCGGAATTCTGCAACTGATGTAAAAATTCAAAGGCCAGTGGTAACTGGACAAGGCGTGGTTTCTTTAGAAGTGGACAAGCAATGGAACAGGCTCCGATCTGCTGAAGCCATGGAAGAAGCTAGGGTTGCTGCTGAACGAGGTGATTTAGCTTCTGCCGTGACTGTCCTGGAGAATTGTCGTAAACAATTATCAGAAACTATTTCAGCACGAGCCGGAGACAGTTTGTGTCTTGCATTAGATGCTGAATTACAAGAAATGCAAGAGAGAATGGCTAACCGTCGTGTTTATGAAACAACTGGAAGGGCTTATGTTTTGTCTGGATTGAGCTCACATTCATTGCAGAGAGCAACTGCACGAGGTGATTCAATGGATAGTACGAGCCTGCTGCACGCTTACCAGACCCCTTCCATGGTCGAAATGGTTAACCGATCACAGACTATGGTCTTTGAGAGGTCATCTCCTAAACCTTCTCTCAGGCCATCGCGATCTTTCCCTGCACAGCCACGACCAAGGTGACATCTATTGCGAAAAATCTCCTCCAAGATTCCATCTGAATGCCTCAATTTGTTTACTTGTCATAATATTTCAATTCCATTTTTCTTGGCTCCGGACGGGCATGGTTGGATGGTCAAAATTAATTCAACTATAGACGTGTGTGAAAATAAAATAAGGTGAAAAAGAACAAGTTGGGAAGTTAGATTTACAAGTTTGAGTGTGTTATATTGATATAGGTTTAGTCTAGTAATTGTTGGGGCTACCGTAGTAATTTTCGATAAAATATACTGAATTACTCATTTGATTCTCTGAATGAGCCTATTTTATTTTCTGGTAAAATATAGCTCTATTTTCGTAGTGAATTATCTTGTCCATTATTAATTTTCTAGTTCGTTGTTAAATTTTCGAAGGTTTATGAATTTACGAGAGAAACTGGAGCTGAAAACGCGAAGGAAAAATTAGTAAGCAGTTCATAAGTTGCTTGTATGTGGCTGGTGAATTGTTAGTCCACCTACAGAAGTAGTATACATGTGCATCAGTTGATTAAAGATCAAAATTCTCGAGCCACTTGTGGTATACTTTGCACTCCAACTTCACAATCGCGAGGCTATATAGTTGACAAGATTTTAACTTCTTTTTCTTTCGTAATCTCTTGTTTGGCTTCCATTAAAATTATAATTTATTTTCTATCTCTTTTTATCAATGACACGTTCTCCATTAAAATAATATTACGCGTAAACTTAAAAAAATTTCTTCTTTTCTAACCACACATTCTTAAAAAATTATATATTATTCCGAAAATTAAAATGACAAATAATGGGGGCCAAACTATATTGTCTACTATTGTTCAGTTACCACATAGTATGTTCGTTGTTTCTCCATCGAACATCTGTCTTTGAGACTAGACAATGCGAAGAAGTGAATGTGTATTCAATTGAGACTTTTAATAACTTTTTGGAATTTAAAAAGTTTAGGAATATTCAACGTAGACTTTTGAAGTTGAAAATATGTAGTTTACTAACTAAGTTCGACTTTATGTACGGAATTATTCTACTAAAAGCAACAAGTCACTTTTTAACAGTTTTTAAATGATTAAGCATACAATTCAATTATCTTATATTTGAATACCACAGTTTATAATATGGAAAACAATAAAAAATGAACACCAAAATGATGACGGAGAAACCCAACTGGATAAAAACTCCGAGACCAAACCAATTACCACTACTATAGACAATATGGATTACAGTCCGTTTCCAACCTAACAAATTCCACTAGTTCCCGCTGTTATAATTTATGTAATCTCCAAGATCTGTTGTTCCTTCAAACTCACGATCTACTATCGTAAATACTATCTAGCCAACCTGCTAGATCTCCCGATCTACAATTTGAATTGATGTTGGTAGATATTGCAGAAGTTGATGAATTAATTAAATAGAAAACTTAAACATAAATAATATGTTTACATGAAAATTCATATTGGACAATTAATAATTTCAAATAATAGTGCGCACCATCACATGAGATCGAGCACACCATTAATATTTAATCTTTGGAAAAAATATCAATGTGTAATTGGAATCCTTGGTGTAATAATCAAATATTAACAATAAATTTGATCAAATATCGAGTCTATCTTTGAACTTACTCAATGTTCATATAATGGAAAATTTTACAGTTATCACATATTTATTATAACATGTGTGTAAATAATTCGGTCAAATATTAACCTTCATTTGAGCCGGTTAATACCCACATTAATTATGTATACACAACTTTCTTAATATTCCAAATAAATCAATTTAGACAAGCGAGATGACTTTGATAACATGTTATTTCAATTTAAAAGAAACTTTAATACCAAGATTTTATATTGATCGTCGCCTTATATTTTATTTTTATTTTTCTCTTTTGTTTCTAAAATAAATAAACAAACAAATAAACAAAACTTCTGGACAGAGACGTTCTGGGCGCTACGGAGTTGTCAACAGTACTTGGGCATTGCCCAACAGCGCCTAGGCACCGTGTAATTGCGACTTTATTTGACGCAGAGTCGTGAAGCCTCTTTTGGGCGCCACACCGCTTCAGTGCTGCTATAATGCTGCCAAAATTACCTTAAATCCAAAATTTTGATATTTAAGCTTTGAAATGTATATCCCAAAATTTTATAAAATCAAATTATGAATTTGTACTAACAAAACTTCATTTAGGGCATGTCTGGTTCCGATTATTTCAATACGAAAATGGATTTTTGGACCGTTATTTGACAGGCACATGGGTCCCTTGCCATGCAAAAAGTCAACAAAAGTGGCTTTTGGGGGATTGCAACTGTCCAAATACCAAAAATGCACCCATTTCAAAATATTTAATGCAATCATTAAGGAGCACTCTCGTCTTTTCATAAAACAATTTCATGAACTGATAAGAAGGTAGTCAAAAAAAGCTGTTGCAGTGGGGCCCCCTTTACTGTATAACGTCTCTAATTTACATTAAAATTTCGGCAAAATTGTGCCCAGACAGCCCCTTAATCTCAATGGTTTAACACGGATTGAATCTGATACCATTTGTTAGAATTTTGTGAAACTTTAAACCTCATGAAATTGTAAACCTAATTACTTAATTGTCATGATCCTCCATATCACATCACCAAGATAATTATTAAGCCACTGTTTGTCTACCATTTTTACAAACATTGTTTTCTACAGTAAATAATCTCAACCACATATTCACTCAATAAAATATTCCACACACAAACCAATAAAGTTACTTTAAATTCCAACCATACATTCTCCCAAAAATACTATTCTTTACTCCATTTTTCTACCAATAATGGTAGACAAACAGGCTCTAAATGTGGAGCAATCCTTAATTCATTGAGAATTATTCTTTAATATTGAATATTGATTCCGGATCTTAAATCTTGAATATTAACTCTTTTAATTTTTGAGTTTTTGATTTTGACTTCTTGATCCATAGTTTTGATTACAGGATTCATACTTCTTGATTCTTGATAGTAGAATGCCTGTTTTTTATTGTGATTTTTGGATCTTTCTTTTCAATATACTTTCTCTATTAATTCTTGAGTTGATATGATGATACAAATAATGAGAAGTTATATATGAATTAGAGATCATAACTTTATTTATAGTTTCCATATATATTATTGTCAAATACAATCCTAATTGATTATGTCTCTACACATATAATTCCGTCAACATTTTGTTTAGATGTCAAAAATCCAATTACTTATTTCGTTATTAGATCGTTTTAATTTTGGACTTAACTTTAAGCAATATTTATACACAATTAATTACATATGTCGGTCCAGATGACAAATTAAATAATTTTCCAACAATAGTGACTTTTGAGCAACATCCTACAAAATTTGCATCCCTCGATTCCCGTGTTTCCTAACTATCCTTAAAATGTTATATGTCTTACACATGAAGCTAAACATCATATGCAAGTTCTAACGTTCGGGATGGACAATTAAAATCGGTACGAATAAAAATCACACATGTAATGATGGAGTTGAACGAAATCAAAATCAATTAGTACTCGTTCATTTCTTTGTAAGTGTGAACGGTTGTGTAAACTTTTTAATTTAGGGTATGTTTGAGTCACATTATTGTGGAAGAATGTATTTTGAAATGGGTTAATTTCATAAATGGTCACTCAAGTTACATCAAAATAACAAAACGGTCACTCAAGTTACAAAATTGCACTAACGGTCACTCACGTATCACCCGGTTTCAAGAATGGTCACTGAATGACCAAATGAGTTTAACACTGAAAAATGAGGACCTACGTGCAAATTTGACAAGAGCCCTTTTTTTCCATTTTTCCGGCGATTTTGCATTCAAATTCCGGCGCCGTCCGACCTCCCAAGCCGCCGGAAATTAGCACCGGTCGAAAGCACTCCTCTTCCTCTTCAATTAGCATCCAGCTTCTCCCAATTTCATCAAGTTATGTAATCGGAATNACTGAAGTATCACCCGGTTTCAAGAATGGTCACTGAAGGACCAAATGAGTCGCGACTGGGTCTGCTAAAAACCCAGATTCCGGCGCCGTCCGACCAAGACATGGGTCGCGACCACCGGGAATTTAATCCTTTTCACCTGGCACAGCTTGCCCAGGTATGGGTCTTCGTCAATTTCGCCCTGAGCTCGAGTTATTGGGCATTTTTAGATTTTCCGGCAGTGAACTTTTGAGCATCGATTCCGATTACATAACTTGATGAAATTGGGAGAAGCTGGATGCTAATTGAAGAGGAAGAGGAGTTCTTTCAACTGGTACTAATTTCCGGCGGATTAGGAGGTCGGACGACGCCGGGATTTGGTTGCAAAGTCGCCGGAAAAAAAGGACAAAAATGGCTCTTGTCAAATTTGCGATGTAGGTCCTCGTGTTTCAGTGTTAAACTCATTTGGTCCTTCAGTGACCATTCTTGAAACATGGTGATACTTGAGTGACCGTTAGTGCAATTTTGTAACTTGAGTGACCGTTTTGTTATTTTGATGTAACTTGAGTGACCATTTGTGAAATTAACCCATTTTGAAATAGTAGATTAATGGAGAATCTGTGGTTAAAAAAGAAGGAAACGTTATTAATGTGATGAAAAATATTATTTTATTAAAAAATATGTAATTGAAAATGAGTAAAAGAATGAGAATAAAAATTTTAATGTGGTTCAAACATGAGCTTCACTTTTATGTCCTTTCTTTCAAGCTACGAAGTGTTAATTATTTTCAATATATTCTTTAATTGAGAATGTATAAGAAGATATTTGAGTATCGAGGATCATATAAATCTAGCCTCTAGTTGGTTCAGGTAAAAAAAAAAAAAAAGAGAGAATTAAACTCTAAATTATAATTAACGGTTAGTTTTCTCCATACATTTCACGAGATTCATAATTTTTGAGTCTTATATTTTCTTAAATTTTATAAAAATCTACTAAAAATTTGATTTTAATCTAATCTAAACTAAACAGTGGCCTAATTTTATTACAAGAATTTGAATCAATAAGAAGTTTATGTGAAACCGAATCGAGTTTGTTTACCTTTGATTTAGTTAGGATGCTTCTCCAAAATTGCGCAACTTGACTTTGGCAAATTTCAACTTCATCGTTCTATTTATAATAATGTCAATTTATGATATCTGGAAAAAATTAAATATCAGTTGAATGGTATAAAATTAGACATGAAGAATATTAAGCTCACCAATTAAAATCTAGATTTTAATTTAAATTAAAATCAACAATTAATTTTAGCTACACATTTTATGAGATCAACAACTTTTTAACCACACATTTTATCAGACACGTAACTTTTCAAGCAAACATTTCATCAATTTTTTTCAAAATTTATTAAAAAATTTGATTTTAATCCAAACCAAATAGGTGTGCTATATACATCTACATTTCGTCATTTCCTAATTCAATTTTGACCAATGAAAAAAAAATAAAAAAATGCTGATATATGGATAAAATGGTAAATTGAAAAACTGACGAGCACATTTGCTCTTATTCAATTCAATTTTGGCCCAAAATAGCAGCAAAACATTCATACCGATCTCTCAGGAACACACACACGAACACGGTCCTCTCTTCTCCTTTTCTACCTCTATCGAGCAATCGCCGGGTCAATTTTGTAAGCCTCAAAATCTAGATTCCTCCCATCTACCGTATCTATCAATTTCAATTTAAAATTTTTAATATCATCTTAATTTTTTTAATTTTTTATTTGTTTGTATTGATCGATCTTTCAGGAACGAAACTGTAATAGATATTTCCCTATGAATTTTAGCGCTTTGATTTCGTGTTTCTTATTTTCTTTTCCCTTTGGGTTTATTATTTGTTTATTTTCGCTTGAATTTATTTTTCGCTTGTTGTTAATATCGCTCGTTCCTTGTACCTTGTGCTTTAGGTGTCGTGTCTCTCAGATCGACAATTGAATTATCTTGTTTTCTATTTGGAAATATTGAAACTTTTTTATATTTAGGTTCATTTATTCCCGCTCCAATCTGACATCTTCGGCTCTGCCTAGTAGTAAAATAAGAAAAAAGAAATATTTTGAATTACGTAAAGAATTTGGAATGCATCGCTTATTTAATTTACGTGGCTATATAAAAGGTTCGTTGAGAATAGTCATTAGAGATCAATTAGAATAAGAGGTTGAATACGTGGCATTAATTTATTCCCCAAAAATGTGTCGACAGGAATTCTACTTGGTGAGGAGCAAATTCACTTCTGCAAAAGTGGTGGTTGCATTTCTGTTGCTCATGAAATTGGTTTCTGCGTAGTGCGTGACCTTTGAGTTGAGCAACTTTTTATCACAATGGGAAACTTGCACCGCAGGTATGTAGAACTGTGCATTCTGATTTACAGTGTAAAAATAAATCCAAACTCTTGTGTGCTTATTTTTTCGTTTGCTTCTTAATGCAGTGGGGTGGTTAGGAAGTCGAATGATAGTGCTCGACTCGTTATAACAACTTTTATGGGAATGCTGCTTGGATATTTTATAGGTGTTTCGTTTCCGTCAGTTTCTTTAACCAAGGTACATTGACTCAGAAAGTGAGTTAAACTTACTTGAGAGGTCATGTAGCACCCGTTTAGCTCATTTTATTATTTCCTTTTTGGCAGATTAGTTTACCTTCAAGCCTGATGTCATCTTTTGATTTCACCTTCAATGATGATCGCCATAGTTCTGCTAGTCGTAGTTTTCCTGAAAATCTTGGTTCTGGCAGTACTCCTTCGACACCTAAGGTACTTCTTTTGCTTCCTTTGAATTGTTATGTTGCTTTCTTTGGAACTTTGAGGCTTTCTTTTACCTTGAAGACCAGTAATGATTATTCCATTTGTTTATTTATGTGGCTAGTTTCAAAATTAGTGAAGATGATGAGTGCCCCTCATCTTTTCTTTACTCATCAAATAGTTAAATGATTATAATGGATAGAAGTACAATGGATAACTATAATTGATGCATTCTTTTCTATGCTTGGCTTAATATCCATAGCAAGGTTATGATTCATTTAACTTGTCCTGGTGATATATTCATGATTTTTGGTTTCTCAGATCTATGTTCCTTCAAACCCTCGTGGTGCAGAGTCTTTGCCACCAGGAATTGTAGTTTCAGAGTCGGATTTTTATTTACGAAGATTATGGGGTGAACCTAGTGAGGTAAGGATTAAAAAAAGTGGAACTGGTATTAGCGATGGAATTTCCATAGTTTCTATTTGTCACGTAATCCTCATTCTAATGGCGATTTCACTTCTACAATTCTACTGCAATACTTTGATGAGTGATCAGACTCAAACTTATATTTGCCCATTCAGATGTTATTTTTCATTGGTTATGCATATGGTGTCTGCTCGCAGTCTTGCTATCTTTTCTGCTCCCCCATTTTCTGATGCATGATTGACAATAAGAATGATGACATTAGGAAGCATAGTGTATATTCAGTAGCACGAAAGAAATTATATGTAATTGCTTGGATAATTTTCTACATGCCTTTATATCAGAATTTGCACCCATTAAATAAAGAACAATACAACGTTTGAAACACTAACAACTAAGAAAAGGAGTTACAGCCACTAAGACTCTCCCTATAAATAAGGACAAAATGCTCAAACACCAGGAACTGCTGCCTATATAACCACCTGCACCAGCAGGACTATTTGCTAAGTGCTATAATAAAACTCGTGAAATGGAATTAGAAAACCATTCATTAAACCAACCATGTAACCACTTTTCAAATATGTGCACGTAACACTAGAGTATGCTCATAAGATTGCTTTGGAACTTGCAGGATCTGAAACGGAAGCCCAAGTACCTAGTAACTTTTACAGTTGGTTTGGAGCAAAAGAACAATATTGATGCAGCAGTAAAGAAGGTTATACCTGTTTGAATTTTATTGTAGTACTTCTTAATATGAGTATCATAGGGTTTCCTAATACTAGGATTTCTTTTGATATGTTATTGTAGTTCTCTGAGGATTTTCAAATTATGCTTTTTCACTATGATGGGCGGACCAGTGAATGGGATCAGTTTGAGTGGTCACGGCGTGCAGTACATGTTAGTGTTAGGAAGCAAACAAAATGGTAAGATTCATCAATTCTAGCTTAAGATCTTTTTTAGTTGTTCTATGCATAATCTTGTGAAGTAGAGACATTATGAGACCTCTTTTGAAGAGATTAAAATTGTGTGCATTTTTATCAATTTTAGTAATGATTTTCTTGATATTCTGGCATTGTGCCTAGGCCTCCATTGGGTACTCTTAGAAAGTAATGAGGCTGTTTTTGAGAAATAAATTTCTCTGGATGTTATTCAAAGTTTTGCTACTAAATCTGAGCAGTTAAGATTTTGACTGACATGATCTTATTCTTGCAGAATATAGATTTTCTTTTCCAGATTTAATGACTTATCTTTATCCTTCATTTTTTTCCCTTTTAGGTGGTATGCAAAGAGATTTCTGCACCCTGATGTTGTAGCTGCTTATGATTATATTTTCATTTGGGATGAAGATCTTGGAGTTGAACACTTCAACGCTGATAAGTAATTATTGTTTTTTGTAGTCCCCAATAATTTCCGATTTTTCATATTATTTTTATTGCATTATGTTCTTTCTGCTCTCAATGATGGGTATTTCTCAATTTGGCAGGTATATTCAATTGGTTAAGAAACATGGTTTAGAGATTTCCCAGCCTGGTCTTGAACCTAACAATGGACTGACATGGCAAATGACAAAGAGGAGAGGTGACAGAGAAGTGCACAAGTAGGTTTAATAAACAAAACCCCTTAAAAAAGGAAATTAAACAAAACGCACACATTCATAGATCTATAGGGGAAGAATCAAAGATTTCTTTTGTGAACACAGTACTTATTTAAGTTGCTTGGGTCCATGCAAGTTTTTAATATTTGTATATTTGGATGGTGATAAACAGGGATACGGAAGAAAAACCAGGCTGGTGCAGTGATCCACATTTGCCTCCATGTGCAGCGTACTCTCTTTTCTCTATCTATTCATCTGTCAAATTGAGAACCCTATTTGGAAATCAGGAGTACCATTTTGATTTTCTTATTTTTGGGTCCTTGCTGTCCATCCCTTTAGGTTCTGATTACTGGATGAACTTTTTGACACGTTTTACGAATGATTAGATGAGTTTGTATAGACCTTGTTTGTGGGTTTCTCCATAAAATGTGATGGATATATGATAAAAGTTTATTTGCTCATCTGGTATTTACATAGATATGTTGATTAAATAAATCTAGTATGATGCGTTGTCATTCAGGTAAATACACCAAATTGAAATAGGTGAAATTGGAATAGTATTGATTGTTTAAAGATGAGGAAATAGGATTCTATCACGCTTTTGGATAGTGGACATAGAAGAAACTAAATAACTACTAATATAGTTTTGGATAAAATCAAAATGAGTCCAATAAATTTATGTGTCAGGCAGGGTGATATTAATATATCAGTTAATCTCCAAAAGAAAATGAAAATGACATAAGACATTGGAAGAGCAGAGACATAAAATCATGTAGTTTATTGAAGATTATTGCCTTATGTAGAGTTACACAAAGAAAGAAAAATATCACAATCCCAGATACCTACAAAGTTTTGTTGAGATGAGTTGATTTCCTCTGAAAATTGATCGAATACACCACACACACACACGCGAAAGGATCTTGATATGGACTCACAATGTACACATTGACTGAATAGGAAATGCCAAGTATGAAAATATCTTTTTGCTTGCATTCAGCTTTGTGGAAATTATGGCTCCAGTGTTTTCTCGTGAAGCTTGGAGATGTGTTTGGCATATGATCCAGGTACATGTCCAGTTTTGGGGTCACATAACTTTGCTATATATGTTCTCTTTTTCTATATATATTGAATATCTTCATTCCAGTGCTTTAAATCAACTTCTTTTCTTACAAGTCTCTTTCAGCCTGTAACAGTCAACACTAACTTCTCTAATTATGTGCTTGCAGAATGATTTGGTACATGGATGGGGTTTAGATTTTGCACTCAGAAGATGTGTCGATGTTAGTCTTCTCTCTATCTCTCTATTTCTGTTGGGGTGTGTGTGTACTTGTGCATGCATGTAGATAATGTGTCCCCCTCCCAATAAAGGAAAAAATAGAGAAGGAAGAAAACAAATAATGCATTCATGAAATAGTAGTAGATAATAAGGAAATCGTAGAGAAAAAGATGTTCCATTCCACCGTTTGAGGAGTTCCAAAGTCTTCATGCTGTGTTGCATATTGACAGCCAGCCACACCATATTTGTTATGTTCTGGAATAAAACATATATTTGTGTTTTTGTAAAAGTTCACAACCACTTTTGTTTTGCCCCTGTAGCCTGCGCATGAAAAAATTGGTGTTGTTGATTCTCAGTGGATTGTGCATCAAGTAATTCCATCTCTTGGAAGTCAGGTCTGTCATCGTCAACTTGTTAATCTCTTCATAATCATATTTCCATATTTTTCTTATTTTTTAGCATTCAGACACAATATTGAAATTTATTCACGTGACAATTTCTTGATCTGGTCTCTCCATTATTTAAGAAAGAAAATCCTGTATGCAAGGAGTATGCATATTGCTCATGTCAGCTTAAAAGTCCATCCACCTGCTCTGCATTTTGGGATGATTGAATATTAATACAATACAGCCCATAAATTGATCCTTTTTTTAAATGAGAGGATCTGAAGAGCAGACGTTAAAAGTACTTCTGGTTGGAGTCCTTTCAAATTCATTCCATTGAGGCCATTGAAGAGTTTTATCCTGGTTTGCATAAGTGTATTCTTGAGCAGATTTTCAGTGCAGCCGCTAGGCTTTTCTATTGCTCCAAGGAAATACGTGTAAAGGACAATAATTCAGAATGGCAGTTACCACTGTTCTTATTGTGAATAAGTGCCTAGGCTAGGATATTTCCGAATTCTAGGGTGCTACTGAAAATAGGGATGTGATCTAGAGATACATGGTTTTGGTGTCAATGCATCTTATTTTAAACACAGTTTCATGTTGGTCAAAACATTAATTTCGTCCTTCACACTGCAGAATATGTGCTAAATAAACAGATAGGATTACTGTTCGTTTTAGTGTCAATTGCTGTCGAAAAAACACTTTACCCGTTTAGAATAATTTATGTCGAAGATGTAATTATCTCCAGTGGGAGTTGAAGAGAGAATAAGGAACTCTAATACGGGATGAGGAAAAGTAGATTTTGTGTGGCTTAGGGATTTCCCATTTCTTTTATATTTTTCTCATCTTACAATAGTTGTTCAAATGCAACCATGACTCTTACCCCCTTTTTCCTAGGTTTACTTAAGTAAGAACAGTGCTAGCCCTCTATGGTCTCTCAAACATCTTCGTTGCAGTATCTCCCTGGTTTTTGTTTCTTTTGCATATGCCATTAGATTAACAAAGTTTATTTACTTCAAATTTGTTTTCCTTAGGTTATAAGTGCTTCTGTTGTATAAAAAATCAATTTCAATGATTATATCGAGATGTTGTGTTTCATGTTTGGTTGTAATAATTTCACACTGCGAGTATCCATAATATGTGAAAATGTGACTGCTTTTTGCCTTTAACTTTGTGTGTATCCATAATATGTGAAAATGTGAGATGTTCTGCACTTGGCTATCAGATTAAAATCGACGGCAACATAGGCCAGACACTTGAAAACTTGTGTTGGACGTGTACAACATGCACTTGTTGCCCTGTTATAATATATTTGATAGATGCATCTACCCTCTTTTCTGGCCTTGTCCCCTATTGGATGTCCATGCTGTCTTTATTCCTTCCTTTTCAGACGTGCTTTTGTTTTTAGTTTTTTTTTTTACCTGTTTTTGCTTGTTTCTCTTTTTCTGGTAAGTTTTTACCTCGTCTCTAATTCCAAAATCTGAACATTCAGGGTCAATCTGAGAATGGGAATGCTCCATGGCAAGGGGTATGTATTTACAATTTCTCTATATTGTCTAACAGGGGCTGTATTCTTGGTTTCCCCCGTGATTGCATTAAACTAGCTGAAATTTTCCTTCTCTCAGGTAAAAGACAGATGCAGAAATGAGTGGGCAATGTTTCAGGATCGCCTCGCTAATGCAGACAAGAAATATTTTGCACAGCTTGATAATAATTAACTACTATATGCTCCTGATCTTTCTTGTATATTGTGTTTTCCTTTTCCTTCTCGAGAAACATTTCATAGTCCTATTCTTTTACGTGAATTATTTACCTCTTTTTAGTTGTAGGCTAGCAACTTTACGAGCACTGTAACAAATACGGTCTGATGTTGGAGGAGTACTTACTGTATTTGTGCATAAGTAAAGGTTTAGGGTATATTGATTTTTCTTTTGCCCTACTGTTTTGACCATCACTTTTGAGTTGTGCACATATATTCTGTCCTGCAGTTGACTATAGGGGAATTACTCTAACGTAATCTATGTTGCGTTTGGTTCTCTTTTTAACTTCCCCGCATGGAAATGCTTTCATGTACCAGCAAGCAAGAGTATGTGTGTACCGTGTACAGGTTCCACTCCTGGACTAGCGGGCTATACCGGGGCTTCACTCTCTAGGCATGTGGGATTGCCTTCTTCAGGAAATTACTTTTAAAATTTTGGGCAGGGGCCGGGTGCCAACCTTTGCTGGGTCTCTTCTTTCTGATGGATTTGCATGGCCTGTGAAAAAATGTGAGCCTTGTCGGATTTCTGTCAAAGAGTAGACGAGTGACCTTTTTTCTACTGAAGAAATTGCCTTTTTTGTTTAAAAATGGCTAAATTTGAGCATCTCTCGATAGTAGGGATGATAATTCGAACTGTTAAAATCGAAAACCACGATTAACCGAACCGGATGGGGCGAAAAAAATCGAACCGATGGTACAATAGGGCGGTTATGGTTTTGATTTTAATGAACCGCTTCATTTAGGGGCGGATATGGTATTTAGCAATGGAGCACCGTCCCGAACCGATTACTCGTTAAAAAAAATTTAATTGGACTTTCCATCATTTTTTTTAAAAATTAATTGGGCAATTTTGACAATTGGGCTTTCCAAAATTCTAGCCCAATTAACATTAATTAAACCAATAATGAATAACCTAACACTATTTATAGTTTTTAACCCAGTCCACTGTCGAGATAGTCCAATTTAAATATACAACTTACACGTTAAAAGTTAAAACAATGTCTTGTGACTCCTGTTGTAACCCTAAAGTCTCCACTTCTCTTCCACTCAAATTCGTCGTCGCTCAGCCTCAACTCGCCCTCACCATTACCGCTTGCCATTGAGAAGGTAACGATTAAGAATGGACGGGTTATCTTTCCTCAGCTGCTTCTCGCTGCACTTAGATAGCATGAGATGTTTCTTCTTTCTATAGTGACAGCTTTGAGAAGCAACAAGGAAAATCCCGCCCCTCTTTCTCGAAGAAGGATTCTTACATCCCTCACAAGGAAAATCCTGCCCTCTTTCCCTGTAAGTGTCGATTTCTTCCTCCCTAATTTCGGGGTGATTATGAGTGTTCTTGATGATTCTGATGTTTAGTTTTTGGAATTGTACATGTTTGAGATCTTGAGATTTGTTTAATTTAGCAGTATTTCTATTGATTCTGCAATGGTTAATAAAGAATCTATGAAGTTTGGTTTTCAATTAACATTGGTAGTTTAATGATTAGTTTTGGTTTTTTCTCCAGTTACCCCAATTCCGGTCAATTTTAAGTTTTCATAATGCATCCGAGCTTAATTTTTCACAATTTATCATGTTTAAAATCTTGAGATACGTTTGATTTAGCAATCTTTCAGTTGAATCTGTAATGGGCATTACATAAAGATTGATAAATATTTGTTTATGAATAACATTGATAGCCTTATGATTAGTTTTGATTTCTCTCCAGTTTCTCCAATTTCAGATTGATTTAGGTCTTCAAGGCGATTCAGGTGTCTAGTTTTCTTTTTTTAATGGAACATGTTTGAGATCTTGGAATATATTTGATTAAGCATGCTTTCTGTTGAAGTTGAACGTGTGATGTGCATTGAAGAATGACCTATTAAGATTTGTTTCTCAGTCAGATTGAATATATCCATGTTGATTGTCTTTCTTTTATGTTTTTTAATGGCCAAGATTACATGAAATCACAAATTCTCCAGCCTTATGCTGCTTTCAGGTGGTGATTGTGGATTCTGATCAGATAAAACTGCCGAACTCAAATTACTGGCTCTAAATATGTTCGATTGATATGTTTTATTTTTCAGATGTCTTGACATGTTTTTTTTTTTTTAATTGACTTTTTTTCATATTTTTTTTTTTCAATTTGACGGTTGGAGTATGGATTTATAAAAAATAATTTATTTTCGTGGTTATTAATCGAATCGAACCGAACCGAGATATTAACTGAGCCGAACCGAACTGACTTTCGTGGTTATGGTGCGGTTATGGTATGACCAAAAAGTTGGTGGTGCGGTTATGATTTTGACCGAATCGATCCTGAACCGAACCGTTGTCATCCCTACTCGAGAGTAAGGTAGGTTTTTGGTAGGGGGTTAAGTTGGGCGGCTCGCTCATCCCACTAGCAAGTCAAGCTAACTTAGCTCGTGTTTTGAGACAAGCTATGGACGAGAGTTGCGCAGCAATTTACTTGTGCCAACCAGCTAGCTTGATTCACAAGCCGACTTACGGGCTTGCCTAGGTGGGCAGTCTGCATGTCTACTATTGCAGTCAAATAGAAATTTGAATTCAAATTTTGAATTTTTTTTCAAATGTTGGGTCTATCAAGTGAGGGTTTAGAAATCAAAATTTTTCATATTTCACTTTCATCATTCTTTATAATCTTTCTAATATATTGTTCTGAGCTCTTCAGTAGTATAATTTTGCAACTCTCAACTCTTTTGATTTCATAATTCGTTCGGAGTTGTTATTTTCTCGCTCTTCTAATTTCATAATCTCCATTTCTCTTTTGCTCGTTGAGTTATACTTAATTTACATAATGGCTAGCTCCTCATCTTCTTCTTGGAATGAAAATGATTTACTCAATTTTCAAAGATCCGACTAAAAGATCAGTTTTATTATGGCCCTCGATAAGATTAAAGAAGAATTAAAGTTATTCTTCCAAAAATACAGAGATAATATTTCTTTTGCATTTGATATTATGTTTTATGTGGACAGTAATTGTTACGTTTATTTAATAGCATTGTATCTTGATGAAAACAATTTGATTCTTGTGAAGAAATTATTTGTTGTTGAATACATAGCATCCGATGAACATACTATTCACGTTGCACAAATTATTGCACAATCTTTAACATACTATTCACGTTGCACAAATTATTGCACAATCTTTACAAGATTTTAACTTGATAAATAAAATATTTATGTATCTTGTATAAATACATGGTTAACCATACTATTTTACAACATCTACAGTAGTTAATTTTTCTTTCCGTTCTATTAGGGTGCTTGAATATAATTATTATGTTTTAAGTTTTTATAGTCAATTATGCATTATGATGCTCATGTGTTGGAAGGTACTTTATGTCAATTGAGAAATATAAATAAGAAATTTGGAGTCATAAATGTCAATCCCATCAAAACTTATCTCATAAGTTTTGGGAAAAATTTATATCTAAGGTGTATTCTTTACCTCAATTCGAAAGTAAGGTAAATAGTTTGAAAATTCAAAAATTAGGTATGAATTTAATTAACTAAAAATATTTATTAAAGAAAGATAATAAAGTCACAGTATATGATTAAAGATCACATATTCATAATTATAAGTTACATATTTATACATTATGTGACTAATGGTCACAGATTCATAATTATAAGTTACAAATTTATTTATTGGTCACATATCGTCAAATTTTTGATCACAGATTATTTCGAGGTCACATATCAAAAAATTTGTACGTCACAGATTATTTTTGAGTGACGTATTATTAAATTTTTAGGTCACAGTTGAGTAATTGATCACAGATATTAGCAAACATTTGGTCACAGATTACCAAACATTTGGTCACATACTACCACCGGTCACAGGTCACAGATCGACCAACACAAACTAACCAACCACAGAACACATGACAGGACGAAAACTGAACCCCAACAACAACAGATCCACCACCACCAACAGCCAACCACCAACAATATATCCGCCACCAAAGATCGCAAACATAAACAGCCAACCACCAATTTGCCACCCACAAATCCACCAACATCAAACAACAGCCAATCTTCCACACCCACGACGTCGAAGCAACACACCTGCACACCCCAACAGCGTTGCATAACACACCCACTACTACGCCACCGCAAAATCACGACCACAAACCACCACACCCACAACATCGTCGATTTCACGTCGCAGCAGAGGGATAGGGAGGGGAGGTGGAGGGCAAAGACAAGACGAGAGAGGAGAGAGAGGGTAGAGTGAAAAATTAGGGTTGAGAGTTTTTATATATCACCTGATTTTTTAAAAATGAAACTTGGTCCCTAATTTTTGAATTTGAAATTTTAAACACCTACCTCCATGTAATTTCCTCATAAGTTTTCCCCCCATGTACAGAAAGAAGCCCACCAGAATTTGGCCAGAATACACACAAATGCATGGGGACCCCACCATGTATTTAAAAAAAAATGCACGAGATCCACAAATGTGTGTATTCCGGTGAAATTCTGTGGGCTTTTTTCTGTATATCGAGCCCTTCTCATCTCATAATTCTCGAAACAGTATAAATGGAATTCAATTTAGGGCTTGTTTGACCCTCATTTTTCTTTTCAAAAAATGCATTTTGTAATAGTATTATGATAGAGAATGTGTGGTTAAAAAATATAAAAAAAAATTGAATTTGCATATAATATTATTTTATTAAAAAATATGTTATTAAAATGTGGTCAAATAACTATTCAAGAATACATTTGAAAGAAAAAAAAATGGGGATGAAACAAGAGCTTAAATTTTTCACATTGATTTGAGCCAAATTATAGTAGTCTAGAAATTTTAAAAATTAAGTTATTTTGACCAATGATGAATAGAATACATTCACTTTGTTTTATAATTTGTTAAATATGTTTTTGTGTGCTGTGCTATGCAATGTGAATCACGCTTCCCCAAATTAAATTAGTTTATACCCCATTGTTAATTTTTTCTTTTTT